TGGACGTATAAACACCTGCATTTTATTTCATTTTTATATTCTGTTTAAAGTAACGGTTTATGATTAAAAATGTCTCGAGACCTTTACTGGTTGATGATTTTCTTTATTTAGACCCCGCTGATTTTTATTTCCTATCACAGACTCTGCATCAAACTGACCTTATCAATGCGTTTGTTTTTTTTTCGCAACATGTCTTTCCTCCCACAATGTTTACATTTCATCACTGTTGCACTTTAGGGAATGGAAATGTAATGGGAGCCATAAAAAAACTAAGTACAAAGTGACAATAAAGACCGGTTCAGAGAAAACACACATTTTTAGACGGAAAACTTCAAGAGATCAATTGTTTTGGATGTAAACGTCTCTCTGAAACACCGAATGAGTGAAAATCTAGAAAAGTTTTTCTACTTCATCTCTAAGGTCCATTTTGGTGCTCAGCTTTCCTTTATCTCCACCTTACAGAATCACAGCTGCAGAGCTTTCTTTTAATTTCACTATTTTGAATAAAAATCTGAATTTTACTGTTAAAAAAAAATGATGCTGCAAAAACTCCCATCATGCATTGCTCTTCATAACTCTTTCCTTTGCTGTAGGTCCAAACAATTCCCTGAAAATGTCTTGGTTCATCCAAAAACATGGAGGTCAGAATGAACAGGAAACACCATCTAAGGTCACATGTCTCCTGTTTCGCTCCAACTAAAGCGGTTTAGTGCACTGGAAAAAAAAATTCCTTAAATTAAGCGTATTTACCCTTAATGTGAGTAGGTAAATGAGATAATTTGCCAATGGGATGAGTATTTTCACTCTTAGAATAAGATAATTAGATAATATGCACTTGAAATAAGATAATGCAATTGTGTTTTCTTATTTTAAGTGTAAATTGTCTTGTTCCGTTGGCAAAATGTCTCTTTTACCTCCTTAATCCAAGAACAAATGCACTTATTTTAAGAATGACTTATCTAGATTTCGATTCAGACTTTGAAGACTTCGTTTTATGCCAAAAGGATCCAATTGTGATCGGGATTCCCAAAGAGTTTTCAGGATAAAAGCTCCTTTCATTTGGAACCAGCTCTGTTTTATTTTTGTGACTTTTTATTTAAACTGATTCTTGTTTCCTAATGTCATAATCATTTTAATCATTTAAAAAAAAGATACAAAGTTTTGCATTCCTATTCATTCCCACTTTAGCTGGATGCCCCTAAATAAAACTGAAACCAGACCAAGGAACCCAGCAGACGGGTGAAGGTTCTGGTCAGGATAAGGCAGGGTTAAGTTTGAATCGATCCATCAACTGATCATAGAGACAGGATGGACCACCGGCAGACCTGCCGAGAACCAGAGGTCCACCTGGACTGACCTGGGAACTCTGTTGGATGTAGACTCACCAACATCTGACCTTTATTAACCAACAACAGGAAGAAAACTAGAGGCTACACCTGAGACCGGGGTGGAACGGCCGTTCAGGGGTCGGCAACCCGCGGCTCCGGAGCCACATGCGGATCTTTTGTAATGGTTTCTGCACTGATTCTGGCCTGATCACTCAGTCCATACACCTGCTCTGCTCCTCCCGTCCGCAATCAGCTCTTATCGGAGTCACCTGTTTTCAGCAGTTTATAAACCCGATCAGATCGGTCCTCTGTGCCAGATTATCTCGAGCCAACCCGCTACGAATAGTCCAGCATCTAAAAGATTACCTGATTGTCTACCTGTTTCTGACCCGATCTGCCTCCTGATACCGAGCCTCTCTCTCTTCTCTGCCTCTAGATCCCCGCATCTCTGAGTCATTCTGATCGGCCTGCCTGCTCCCCTCTCTCTGGATCACAGACTCGGAAAAGCTCCGCCCAACTGGATCAAAAACTGGTAAANCAGGTAAGACCCACTGAGGAAAAAATTAAAGCCGTTTTGGACTGGCCAAAGCCAGAGACTCGCAAGCAGCTCCAACGTTTCCTGGGTTTCGCCAACTTCTACAGAAGGTTTATCCGCAACTACAGTCAAACAGCTCTTCCTCTGACTGCTCTGATCTCTTCCAAGGTCCCCTTTGTGTGGTCCCCTGAGGCTGAAGTAGCCTTCTCTCACCTTAAGAGACGTTTTGCTAATGCTCCTGTTCTCACTCAGCCAGATCTCTCCAAACAGTTTGTGGTGGAGGTGGACGCCTCAGATTCTGGAGATGGAGCTGTTCTCCCAAGTTTCCGGTACCGATAACAAGCTACACCCCTGTGCCTTTTTCTCTCGCAGGCTCACTCCAGCAGAAAGAAATTATGAAGTTGGACATTGAGAACTTCTAGCCATTAAATTGGCTCTGGAAGAATGGAGACACTGGCTAGAAGGAGCTGCACACCCGGTTCAGGTTTGGACTGACCACAAAAATCTATCCTACATTCAATCTGCTAAAAGACTCAACCCCCGTCAATCTCGTTGGTCTTCATTTTTCTCCCAATTCAGCCTCTCAATCTCTTTTCGCCCTGGCTCTTGGAACGTCAAACCGGATGCGCTTTCTAGGCAGTTTTCCCCAGATGAATCTGAAGAGTCGGCAGCTCCCATCCTGCCTCCTAGCTGCTGCGTCGATGCGGTCACCTGGGAGATTGAGGATTTAATCAAACAGGCCCAACAGACTGAACCAGATCCTGGAACTGGGCCACCTAAGCGAATGTATGTATCTACCTCCTTACGAGCCTGAGTAATTAACTGGATGCATTCTTCCAAGTTCTCTGCGCATACCGGGATAAGCAGGACGGTTGCCCAAATTAGTCGTCGCTTTTGGTGGCCCTCCTTGTTGAAGGATGTCAAGGAATTCGTGCTAGCCTGCCCCACCTGTGCACGCAACATGCCCTCTCATCAACCTCCTTCTGGTCTACTTCAATCATTAGCCATCCCCAAGCGACCCTGGTCTCACATTGCAATCGACTTTGTTACTGGACTCCCCACATCCAAAGGTATGACAACCATCCTCACTATTATAGGTCACTTTTCCAAGGCCTGTCATCTCGTTCCATTGAGAAAACTACCTACTGCTCTGCAAACTACCCAACTTCTTGTTAAGCATATCTTCCGTCTTCACGGAATCCCCCTGGAAATCCTGTCTGACCGCGGCCCGCAGTTCATCTCCCAGGTGTGGAGAGGATTTTGCTCGGCGCTTTGGGCCAAGGTCTCTCTCACTTTCGGTTACCACCCCCAATCCAACGGTCAAGACGAAAGGATGAACCAGGAGTTAGAAACAAGCCTCAGATGTCTCACTGAAATGGATCCTACAAACTGAAGTCAACTTTTGTCCTGGGTGGAATACGCTCATAATTCTAGTGTCTTCACAGCTACAGGTCTATCCCCTTTTGAGGTCTCCCTCGGATACCAGCCACCCCTGTTTCTCTCAGAAGAGGCAGACATCACTGTTTCCTCCGTCCAACAGCACATTCGCCGCTGCTGGACCTTCTGGAACCTGGCCAGGACGGCCCTGGGAAGGACCTCCCAGCAGAATCAACAGTGGGCTAATCGTAGGAGGAGAGCTGCCCCTTCCTATCGCCCGGGCCAGAAGGTCTGGCTCTCCACTTGTGACATCCCCCTCAAATCAATGTCTAGGAAGATGTCCCCCAAATTCATTGGTCCTTATAAGGTGGAGAGGACCATCTCTTCGCATCCATCCCACCTTCCATGTGTCCCCCTTTGGACATTGATGGCCACCCCGCCTACACGGTTCGATGCATCATCGATGCCCGTCCCTGTGAGCGTGGGTGCAAATACCTCATAGACTGGGAGGGTTACAGTCCCGAAGATCGCTCCTGGGTCCCGGAATCGTATATCCTGACCCCTCCCTCATTAGAGATTTCCGCCTCTCTCAACCCTCCGGTTCCTCTGGACCGCCGGGTGGTGGTCGTTGAGGGGGGGGTACTGTCAGGACTCCAGTTTTTTGTGTTTGTCTGTTCATCTTGTCTTTGTGTTCAGCCTTCCACCACCAGGAGGCACCTGGTTCCGGTCCACCTCCTCACACACCTGCGGACGGTTACCTCATCACCGGACTGCTCTTGAGCTGTTGGTTGCCACTACTTCGGCGCCAGATTGTTTGCCAGTTTGGGGTACTCTAGCCAAGCCTTGTTTATTGTTAGATTCAAAATATTGTAAGTTCATATTTCATATAGGACAAAAATGAATCTGAAGGACAAAGGGTTTTTCAAACAGAGCTTTTCCTGCAGGAATGAGAAAGGCTGCTGCTCACATCCCAGTACCCTTCTGGGGTTAGGGAGGACGGTCCTCAGCGGACCGTTTAGCGATTTAGAAGTGCTAAAATAGAATTTTACCGCAAACAACCTACTAAATACCTATGAAATACCAACAATTATATAATTAATACGCTTTATGTTTTTATTATAATATCTTCTGCAAGTTTTGACAATTTTTTTAGGGAGGATCTTCCTCCCTTTCCTCAATGGGGGAGACGCCATTGATATATATCTATATATATATATATATAT